GTTTCCACTATGGATGTGATTATTTCCACCAGGTTTTAATTTTCCTCCTTTTTTTGTTCGCGTCCAGCCTCAGTGTAATTGATCCTCTCGTTTGTCTTTTGGTTTTAATTTTTTTTGTTTTATTTTTTTGTTTTTCACTTGAGTTTCTACATGGTATAATTTAGGGGTATTCACGGTCCGGATTGATCCGGTTTTAGCCCAAATCATGACCAAATCGGACCTAACGGTTAATTCTTTTTTTTGTCCATAACCGAACCGGTTTTATTTTTTAACCGACCACAATCCGGACCGCATTGGACGGTCCGGTTTGGTGGTTAACCGGTTAATCCAAAATCCATGTTTTGGGCCTTTAATTTTTATTTTTTTCATTTTAGGCTTAGTTTTTATTTTTCAATTTTGGGTCCAAAAGATATTACTTGAGCCTAAAAATTAAGAAAAATAACAATAATGAAATAAAAAAATACACAATTCATCCCATAAGCATAAAAATACACATTTCATCACAAAAACATAAAAATACAAAAATGATGAAGATTAAATTATGCAAACTTAACTCAAACAAGCATTCATTTTTCAGTTAGTTTATACACCTGAAATAATAAGAGCAAAACATTCATATTTAATGTATTTGTCGGCCATAGTGAATGAATTAATGTATATATATATTTGTTATAGTTTTTTAATATTTACCGGTCCGGTCCGGTTAAACCGGCGGTTTGCCGAAGGTAATCCGTTAACCGGACCGGTTATTCCGGATTTTTAGAAAAATTAACCACCGGATTTTTTAAGGTTTTTTTAACTGACCATTTAACCGATCCGCGGTTGGATTGACGGTTTTTTACGGTTAAAATCGGACCGTGAACACCCCTAGTATAATTGAATTATTAAATATAAATGAAGCCGCCACGCCACGCTATGTCAGGTAAAAAATTGCCATGTCACGCTTTTAAAAATTGCCATGTCACGCTTTTATTCATGATGCGTATTAAAATTGATCAAATTTGATTAAATTATCAAATCCAGTTTAAAAATGGTCAATGACAGGATGGAAAATTGAATTTAGGATGAAAAATTGAATTTTGGCTAAATTATAGAAGCAATTTTAAATTATGGCTTACTATCCTAGAATATATGTAAAATCCGCCATTTCTTAATTCGGACCTACTTTGGATGCCTTCTTTTGAATAATATGCAAAACCTATGTGAAATGGCACAAAAACTCGTTTCCCCACATTCCAAATCGTAAAATGAGGCACAACTAGCACGACCTTGCCCGATCAGGCACCAAATGCAATCGTGTTTCCGCACTTTGGATTGGATCGAGTGTATATTAGAAAGCGTAAAGATGAGGCAGTTTAGCCCGATTATTAGGCACCATATGCAATCGTATCCAATCATTATAACGCATTTCATTCAGTAGATTACAAATTATCATGAGAATTTCAAAACTGTAATAATAATACTATGATGACTACAACCAAATTAGACCAAAGTGCTTGCAGTGAATTAACTAAAAACAATAATAACATAAAGATTCGAGTCTGATGACTATATCCATACCGCCCTGCAGGCGGCACAATCGGCAGTGTAGGCATGCCATTGGAGCTGAAGGTCCTCCACATCCTCAGCCCGCGTCTCGAGGACCCGTGTTGCAGACTCAGGATCAACAAACGAGACCAAAGCAATGACGTAATCCGGCTCGAACCACCACTGAAAGGTGACGTCATCAATATCCCCAAATTCCTTGAGCACATGAAACAGCTTTACCGGTGTGGTGGGCTCACAGATCCGGATGTGGACGCAGATTTTCCTGCTTTCGTCTCTGGTCAGCTCCGTAAGTAGATCTTCCCGCACGACGGCGTAATACGAGGCGGCTTTCATAATCAGGTTGACCTTCTCCGACTCCGACATGTTTGCCACCATTGATTGGATCAACTGTCTATGGCTATGGTCCAAGCTACGCCGGGCAGCGGCGGGTATTGGGAAGGCCGACGGCGGATCGGCCGGCTGAGGAAAGCCGCAGGGCGGTGGCGGTGGCGGTGGCGGTGGCGGGGAGGGCTCCGATAGATGCGCCGTGTCGGTGAGGGGTAAGAAAGCGGCGCTGCCGCCGCCGTCGTCGTTAGGGTTTTCCATGGATTTTCTTCGGTTGTGCAAAGATGGGGTTATGAGATAGGTTAACTGATTAGGAGACAAAATCAATTATTAAATAAAATATATTCATTATGTTTGCCTAGACATGTCAAAACGGGCTTTAGCCCGCGGGCCGGCCCGCTCCGCCCCGCCAAAAGGGTGGGCCGGGCTAGAGATTTGCAGGCCCGCCAAAGAGCGGGCCTAAACGGGCTAGCCCGCGCGGGCCGCGGGTTTTGGCGGGGCGGGCCGAGCGGGCCGCGGGCTAGCCCGCCAGAAAAAGAAATATATATACACATAAATACAGATATCACTTTTCAGTCGCAAACCCTCATTTTCGTCGCCCGAACATCGAATAGTCATTCAAATTCACCCAAGTCAAGACTACTTCACCTTGAACCTTCTCTCGTCCTAGATGCAGATTTGAGGCGAGGGCCTGGGGACGAGCTTGCTATTGGTGTGGACCGAATTCGGACAGATAAGCAAATTGACGCGAGATCACAATTGTCCAGTTGGAGCTTCGGCATATGACGAGCCTAGGGTTTGTGGACATGGAAGCCGTCGGATTGATTTGGAGCTCACCTATGTAGATCTATTTTGACCATGGACAGGACATGGAGGAATGCGTTCGCTGGGAAAGAAGAAGAGAAGAATGGAGGGTTTTGGGCCTGCGCTGGTAAAGAGAAAAAAGCAAAGAGGGAGAAAAGAAAAAATGTGGACTGGGCCTGGGCTAAAAAAAGAGGAAAAAATAAAGGGTTGGAAAAAGAGTACAATTGGGCTGGGCTGTGTGGGTGTGGCATGTGATATATATAATCTTTTAATTTTTTTCTTTTCTTTTTAATTTTAGCGGGTCAGCCCGCCTAGCCCGCGGCCCGTGGCGGGGGTGGGCCGGGCTGGCCATTTAGAGGCCCGCCGAGATGGCGGGCCGGCCCGCCCCGCCCCGCCAAATGGCGGATTTTGGCGGGCTGCAGGCCGGCCCGCCCCGCCGGCCCGTTTTGACAAGTCTATGTTTGCCACAATTTCTTTTACACCTGCACTTCTTTAATACACTGTCTCGTATAAAAACTTTTTGTTTTCACCGCGTAATACAAAAATTACATATTTAAATCAACTGCATAATTAGATTATGTTAAGAGTTGCTGGTATTATCTCTTTTGGATTTAAATCAACTCCAAATTGAACGTCATATATTTTATGATATGTTACATATGGTTTACGACTCGCATATTTAAACCTACCGCATAATTTAGCATATATGCGAGAACTTTTTGCAAAATCTATTATTGCATATCCAAATCGAGCATCGCATATTTTATGTTATGCGACATATTTTCACATAGTTTACAGATCGTATATCCAAATCCACCCCATAATTTAGTGATTTGCCATATGCGAGAACTTTTTACATATTGCTATTATCGCATTTCCAAATCGAGCGCCGCATATTTTATGATTATGTGACATATTTTCGCACAGTCTACGACTCACGTATTCAAATTTACCGCATAATTTACCATATACGAAAACTTCAAAAAATTACATATTCAAATCCAACATCGCATATTTTATGTTAAGCGATATGTTTTCGCATAGTTTACGTCTCGCATATCCAAATCAACCGCTTAATTTACCATATGCGATAACGTTTCGTTTATTCGAGAAGCTCATATCCAAATCAAACGTTGCATATTTTATTATTATGAGACAACTTTTTGCTGTTATTGTTTTTATAGTAAGTCGACAAATAAGCTCGGGAAACATATCCAAATTAACTGCATAATAACCATTGTGCGAGATTTTGTCTCATATATAATAACACATATCCAAATCATACACATAGTTAACAATTATCCGAAACACATCCGCATATTTATTAATCACATATCTAAATTCACAACATAATTTTCTTATGCGAATTTATTTTGCATATATAATTATCGCATATTCAATACATAGCCGCATATTTTTTTACGATTATGCGACAAGTTTTCGCATATTTTTCATATGCAAATCACACGCATAGTTAACGTTATGCGGCATATTATTCATATGCAAACACACTTACGCATATTATGTAATCGTGTATCCAAATCGAACGTCGTATATTTTATGATTATGCGGCATATAGTTTACGACTTGCATATAAAATATAATAGATAATGTATTTTTTGTAATTTTGAGGGATCATGACCAATTAATTAGCTAAAAATTTTGAATTTATTATAACAATTGCTTGTGCGATTTTACAGAATTTTACTATGACATTAACAGAAATGAATTTATATAAAAAAAAAAACAATCGCTTAATCAGATTAAAAATATAATATTGATTTTAGAATAAATAGCTTGAATTAAAAGTTTTTACATTTTAATTTTTATGTTTATGTAGCTTTCTTGTATAATTTAGTATACAACATAATTATTAATTTTAATAATAATTATTATATGATACAACAAAAAAATATAATTATTACTCAATTAATATAAAATATAAAGTTTATGTCTTAATTAATCTCAAAAAAAGTGCAAAGAAATATTTTTATCATTAATGGGATAAGGTTGACGGTCATTGTATTAGGAAAGTGTCATGTAGGTAAATTTATTAGGTTTTATTATGAGGTATTATTTAATGGTATGTGTTTAAAAATTCATAATACAAATAACAGCAAATATGTACAAACAACTGTTTTAAACATCAAATATGTGACATTAAATGGAGATACTAAAGAGTTGTGCATAGAACGTAGCTTACCCTTTTACCAGAAATTCTATGGTGCCCATATGGGCACCATATGGTGCCATAGAATTTCTGCCCTTTTACCTACTTTTCTCTTTTTATTATACACCTAGAAGATTAATACTTTCGTCTTATTATACACAGTTAGATGTAGAAGATATACACTGTTAGATGTAGAAGATTAATACTACTTAAGTGAAGATCATAATTATAATACCATTGTATGGGTTAAAATTGCGGATTACAAATATAATTCAGGACCAAAATTATAATAATGTTGTACTCTTTAAAATTGTGGAGCAAAATATAATGTTAACGTACAGTAATCATTTCCTCTTATAGAAACTAGACAGTAACAGACTGGAGAGAGTTAAACTTAGAGAGTGAAGGAGGATGGCATGCATAGGTTATATAAGAGTAACCAATCCTTCACAAATCTAAAAAAGGAAATATAAAAAATTATTCACGGGAGGGAAGGAGATTAAGTTACCAAGATGATTACATTTTTTTTTGATGTTTTACGGTGATCAACATAAATGTACTGCCGTTAATAAATAACTAGTTATTAGTGCAAATTATTGTACTAGTAAATAATATAGTATTTATAAAGGATATGAGAGTAAATAATATAATATTTATGAAGAATATGAGTTGATATGTAATTCATCTTATACCTAAATTAACTTAGAGAATGACATAAAATATTTCTATTTAAAATATTATAAGTATAAAAATATATACATGTAAAAAACATATTTATTTAAAATAACAAAAGTACTAAAATGTTATACATGTAAAAATATCTAAAATCCATATATTTGTATCAAAAAAAGTGCATGAAATTACTTAAAATTTTCTAAAATATTCTTGAAAAATATGTCTAAAAACACCTAAGCTAAATTGTACTATGATAATGTACCAAAATATTATATATACATATCGTGAAATACAACTTTCATCAAAGTTGTTTCAAACACACACAACCCTTATTTTTTTATGCGTGATTTTGAAAGACTAAAACATTATTCATATTCAAATTTAGATCATCTAATAGATGCATATTAAGTACTTTTTATATAAATTTATTTGTCAATATATAAAATTTATTTATCAAAAAGAGAAAAAAAGTCTTGCACACTATCATTACTTCTTTATAAATTTAAAATTAATGGAGATTAATTTTTAAATAGTGAGTTTACCAACAGAATAATTTGCTAATACAATATTGAAAGTGTATGTTGTTATTTTGTTGTTATTTGCCAATGTAATAAATCAGTTGCTATTTAACAACAAAATAATCCGTTGCTAAGACAATATTGAAAGTGTCTGTTACTATTTGCTAACGGAATAAATTCGGGGCTATTTGTCACTAGAATAATACGTTTGCTAATGGAATAAATCCGTTGCTATTTGCCAACAGAATAATAATACGTTGCTAATACAATGTTGAAAGTGTATGGTGCTATTCTGTTGGTACTCACCAATGGAATAATCCATTGCTAAAACAATTTTGAAATCTGTTGGTACTCACCAATGGAATAATCCATTGCTAAAACAATTTTGAAAGTGTCCGTTTCTATTCCATTGCTATTTACCAACGAAATAAATTCGTTGTCATTTACCAACGGAATAATCCGTTGCTAATACAATATTAAAAGTGTTTGCTGCTATTCCGTTGCTATTTACTAACGGAATAATTCCGTTGCTATTTAGCAATGGAATTTTTTGTTGCAAAGATAATTTTGAAAGATTATGTTGGTATTTTGTCTGTTTTCAGTAACAGAATATTTCTGTCACTATTTGCCAACATAATACAAAGATGTGTAATTTTTCGTTTCGTTAGTATTCTGTTGATAATTTGTTTAAAAAAATTGTATATATAATGCATTACTAATTCATTGGTAATATGTTGGTAATCCCCATCGCAAATTTTTGTTGGTAATTTTTATTGACATTTGCACAATTTCTTGTCGTGGAACATTGCCCATAATTAATTCTTCTAACTGAAGAGAAGACCATAGGACTCGCATCATTTAAATTGTGGATCGATTAAATATGCTAAACCACAAATGTCATATTTTGTTTATATTTTAATTTATATGACACTTGATTGAGTGGAAAAATATGTAAATTTGTTGTGAAATATAAATCTCTAACCATTAGACAACCTCGCAAAATGTCTACTATAAATATATAGATATAGAGTTTCCTACATATATCTAACCAACTTCTGGTGTTATGTAGTCCAAAGACGGGCCTATGTTAGGTCCAGAGGGTCCACGTCTCACCTCATTTTTCAAAAAATTGCATTAAATATATATATATATATATATATATATATATATATTTAATAAGAAAAATACGGATAAGAATGTTAAAAAAATATAAGAGTACATTTGGTTGAGTGATAGGATTGGACTATATTTATCTCATTTAACAAGATTGCACTGTTAAGATATTTTCCGTCTCTTGTTTGTTTGCTTGAAATGGTTTTATCTGAATAAACAATGAAATTAGTGAAATGACCAAAATGTACACAAATAATAATTTATTTTTATTTTTATTCTTCTTTTCCTGTTCACCGTCTTCTTTCCTCTCTTCAACACCTTATCTTCTTTTTTCTTTTCTCTTATTTCTCTTCACCTTGATATAGGGTTTTATTTTTCCTTTCCAATTCTTTTCCTTTATCCTTATTTTTCTCTTTTATTTCTTCTTCACCGTTTCTTTCTTTTCCTTCTTTTATCAGATTTTTGAAAATGAGATCTCTTTTTTTTTTCTTTATTTCTCCATTATTTATATTTTTCTGAATTTTTTCTTTCGGCTTTTACTCTTTTATTTTCGTTTCATCTGCTGTTTGTTGCTAGTGGCGGCCACCCATCAGACAACCGGAATATCGTGTTGATGGCTTCTGGCCGTCGACGGCAGGTGTTGTGCCATCTGCTACCGGTGTTCTTAAATTAGGATTTTTTATTTTCTAAAATTTGGTCCAAATATGAATTTGAGGTTTTCTTTTCTTAAACTTTGGTAGAGAAACAAATTTGAGATCTTGCAGCAGATATATAAAATCTGCCCGTGATTTATTTTGTTTACAATACATAAGAAAGTGGAAAAAATGGCGGTTGCGTGGCGGAGGTGGGGAAGATCGACGGTGAAGTTAGGACATCGCCGACCGGTGGACGAGGAGGCAGGCGGCTGCAGCGGTTGCGTGGCGGAGGTGGGGAAGATCGACGGTGAGGTTGGGACATCGCCGACCGGTGGACAAGCCGAACTCATATTTCTGGAAAAATTAAAAACTTGGATATTTATGTAATTTACTATTAAAATCAGCCTTGATAAAATTTATCATAACCCCTCCCCCATGATAGTATAGTCCTGAGTATCCAAGATTATGGTGAATTTATCTCGGGCCGACCATTATCATGCGGGCTTCAATCTGTGCTATCAAACATAGGATAACCTATGATTAATGAGGTAACCCTGTCTAATCCGCCCAACCAAATGTGCTCTAAGGTGTAAAACTTATTTCTATTCTAACTTTATTTGAAGTATTACTATTATTTATTTATTATCAATATCCTACAATTCTTATAACTGTACATTTCTAGGTCAATTTTGAAAGTATTTATGATTATTTATTTTAACTTTGGTTTTCTGTAAGTAGATTTAGTGATTTTCCATACTAAATGTTTAGTTGAATTTTTGGATCTTGATTTTTCACTTTATGATTTATGTAGTTATATATTTTTAACTTTATTAATTATTTTTTAATCAGCGGTCCTTTAATAAATTCTCATAAAAAGAGTTATGCAATGTGCTGCGAAATTTCGGTTCAATTTAAATTTTCAATAAAAAATTTTATTTTGTTATAAGTTCCAGATGTTAAACTTGAATTATAAACATATGGAATCTCTTGGTGAAATTCCTTAGCTACCACCATGTAATATTATTATGAAATTCATGTTTTTCGTAACGTATATATATTTTTATTATTCGGAATCCATGTAAGAATTTTATACATAAATACAGAGTGTTACAGAGTTCTCTGAGTTTAAGTGTCTAACTTACAACATTAACGGAAACTTTTGTCCTTGTGCAATCTTATGTATTAATTTTTGTTGTTTCATAATATACAATATAAGAAAATGATGAAATTCCAACGGAAATATATTCCAATAGAATTCCAACGACAATGCCAATAGATATTTCAATGCTATTATTTACGTTGGAATAATTTCAACGGAAATTCCAACAAATATATTCCATTGGAATGAGTTTTCCGTTGGATTTTGACGATTCCAACGGTGGTGGAAATAACAATTACAACGAAAATTGTATATTCCAACGGAAATTCCTACTGTCAAAAGCCGTTTGAATCATCAAATTCCATATAAAATTCCAATGAAAACTACATTCCAACAAAATATTTTGGTAGGAATTTTCGTTGGTCTACGAAAATATTCCGTTGGAATGATTCAACGGAAGCTATACCATTAGGGTCAGTTTGGTTGGGCTGATTGATATCACACTATTTTTTATTGTATCAATACATTTATTGTGTTTGGTTAAACTGGTTTGGGCCCTGAAAATGAGCATGGCCCGATCAGTTATCATTTTACTTGTTTATAGGGCAATTTAAACTAATACAGAGTAGTTACTAGTGTTTTCCAAGTTTAAATAGCAAGTAGAATTATTATAAAATAATCTGGCAAACCAAATTAAAGGACAAAAAATACGAAGAGTCGTGGTTCGTGGTGGAAGTTAATAAACTCCCAACAGACACTTTCACTTATTTATATTCATTAAAAAAAACGAAAAATGAAAACCTCCATCCATGAAACAAAAAAACGCATTTGCTACTGTTTGATATCATATCGTTTCTTATAAAATCCAACAAGGTCCAAGGAAAGTGGAGGATATCTGAGTAGCACTTCATAGATTTTGCAACTTCGGAATCATCATTTACCGACCAACATGAGTTATAAACATAAAATAATCTATCAACAAATGAAAGTCTGCCAAGGATCCAACGGCCTACTTTGTCTAGCTCAATGTATATCGGGAATAGAACGTGATCAACTTCAAACCATGGTTTGCCGCATATTTGTTTGTAACCCATTATATAATCAAAAATGAGGCTAGAGACATCAATAACACTTTCAGAAGCATGCTCAATATACCTCAAATACAACGACTTGATCGTTTCACCAAAAAATGGATCGGTGGTTGTGTATCTCACAGCTACTTTCAAATTTGAATACAACCCGATCTTCCTCAAGTAGTAGAAAATAACTTCAATATGCTGTGAAATGGAATAAATAAATTAATAATATCAGAAATATGTAGTAAGAAACAAACAAGTATTGAAAATTTTAATATAATAGTAGGGACTAACACTGACTTCCCAAAAATATCCCGGCTCGAAGAGTGTATAAAACCATGCCTTATTAAAATCAAACCCTGGATCTATAGTTCCATGCTTCTTGTCATAAAAAATAACACTATGCAAAAACAAATATATAATTATAAACATGAGAACTAGTAACATTTAAAAAATAAATTATAAAAAATTAAATGCAAAAGAATTACCCATCTCGCTTCATATTAGGATGTTTTAGAAGACCCTTACGAATCCACAGCTCAAACTCTTCATCATCATCCTCAAAAAAAGAGTCCAATGGACATGACCCGTGAATCCTATGTTTCGCAATCACTTCTGTACAAGACTATTGGTTTTCAATTAACAAATGAGTATTCATCTTCCTACCAATAAATAGTGAAGCAATTTTATTAATAAGTTACTGGTTTTGCAATCAGTTTTATTAACAAATTTAAGCTTTTATTGAAGACAATTCGGTTGAAAAGAAGTTATTGATTTAAGTTTTTATTGCCTAAATTGCAGTTGAAAGACTCTTTCCCCCGTAAATAATTATTTATTATTGTTTAGCACAACTTCCCTTAAAAAATGCTAAAAACAGTTACTCTGACGGTCTCACCCCTGTAAGTTTGGGAAAAGACAATTGAATGTATAATTTTGTTAAAAAGAAAAATAAAACATGTAGGTGGAGTCATTTCCTCTTGTTTATATTCTATCCTGCTTTAATGTTGGGATACCTTATACGTCAGTGTCAAATTAAAAGATCCCAAAATATCTCCAAATTTTCTTTCTTTCTTTTTTTTTTCTCTTTCATTTGTCCCTCCATGTTCTTGCTTTCCTTCTTCCTCCTCCCTCTTCTTCTTTTTTTTTCTTTCTATTTTCTTATTCTTTCTTCTTCTCCTTTTTTTCTTAAAAAAAATTATGAAGCAACACAAGATGCTTCAGTTCGAATTTGGTGGATTTTGAATTTCGTCAAGCAAGTCGTCGGCGGAGTAGAAGAGGGCCTCGGCGTCCTGAAGCCAGATGCGGTGGGCCTCGTCACCGGAAAGTGGCGCCTCGAACAAGCGGTACTCCGTCACCGTCTTGATAGCCATCATCACCTGCCTCTTGCTCCTCGTCTTTTCGGACCAAGCCCTCGATTTGTTTTTTCGTTCATTTTCTTCTTCTTTGCTTAACCTTTTATGGAAGAATTTGTAAAACTGATATTGTTTTCAACAATTTTTATGTATAAATTGCTTCAAGTTTATGGCCGCCGAGGATTTGCGATGTGCAGTACTTGCGGATGCGGTTGAAGAATTGGGAACTACCATTTTCATTTTATCGAACTCATTTTCTCAATTGTTGGAATAATTTTGAAAATTTAATTTGAAATGGAGGATAAAAGAGTAATTTCAACCTCAATCCAATTCTAAACCAAACAAGTTAATAGTCTAACTAAATAGATGGATAGTCTTTGAAACAATCAAAATGATTATATCATGTTCAATCAATTATTTCAACCAAACTGACCCTTAGAATATTCGCTGGAATTTCCATTGGAATATATTATCATAAGATTTTTCGTTAGAATATAACAATTATTTTGTAGTGATATATGTGAACTTTTTGTATTAGGTTTGGATTTTTCTCTTGTCTATTAAAACTTTTAAAATTATAAAACATTGTATTACCTTAAGTTATACATATATTTTCAAACTTAATAATTTTTATATTTATTTTTAATTTTTCATATATGATATATCAAATTAATCATCTAACTAAGATTTTGATATGTTTGATTGGCTTGCCCTAATCTCACCAACCTGCATAATTTAAAATTATAATAACAAATCAAGTAAAATCTTTTAAGAAGGTAAATATAATTATTTTTCTTAAAGTACGCAAACATAACTACCGTAATCAAAATGGAGATTCACCACTAAAGCTAAATGAATTATCATAATCAGATCAGAGGCAATATGCACCACATAACTCAGTAGAATTACTATCACAAGCACAGCAACAATCATTACAGGGTCGAAACTTCCCGACTGTTTCATGGTATTTAGAGCATTTCCAATGGTTATTCTATTGTGTTATTTTATTACCACACGCAGGGACGGATTTAGATACATCCTAGGGGGCTATTGTCCCCCAAAATTTTTAATTTTTGTCACTATATATATATAGATATATATAGACATTTTGTCATAATTTTAATCTTTCTTACTACCTAAAATATGTAATACATATTATAATCATATTGAATTTATACATCTATCACCTAATTATTACTAATTATTAGTATGGTCTATCTAATAATCCTTTATAACTATATTATATGTTTCACGTAAATTTCCACCATTTTCAAGTGTAATATTTGGTGCCTTTCTTTTTATATTGTAGAGCTTAGTTGAATTGAATGTAAGAGATGGGTAAAAAGAAATTATAAATAGAAGAGCATGAATGGTATGCAATTTCATAGAGTTAGATAAAAAATTGAAAGAACTATTGGTACTGAGTCAATAGTTGATGAGTTTCGTGATATGAGATAATGTCAAACACAATTTTCCAATATCAAAGCTAAAAAGTTATGTCTTTTGTAGAGCATATTTATTATTTATTTTATCCATTTTATAATACAATTCTATGTATTATATCTATATAAATGTACGATATATTAAAAATATATATTCCCTCTAAGGTGTTATTAGAATTGAGTCAAGCTGAATACCTCATGCAAACTCAACTCTACTCATTTAATAAACGAACAAAAATGTGGGCTCGAGCTCGTTTCGTTTAATAAACGAATTTAATTAATTGTTTAACCTTAGCTCGTTTACATGTAATAACAAGATGAGGTCAAACTTTCATTGGTCAAATCGATTATGTTCACAAACAACTTATTTCGAAAAACAGCTTCAGTTCCCCCGAAAAAAAATTTCTGGATCCGCCCCTGACCACATGCCACAAACAATTCTATATGGCATGAAAAATATCTAGAAGGTCTTCTAGATGTAGAAGTTATTCTAGAATACTTCTATTATTTATTATATATTGTTTATTTATTTTTTCTCTCTTCTTCACCCAATTATAATTTTACACATCACAAATGACATCACAATTCACACTAACCATTGGAGACATAATATTTTTATTTCCTTTCTCCATGCCATTCAACACAAAATAGACAATGTTCCATTGGAGATGCTCTTAAACTACACAGGCGAACAATCAAATTAGCATATATAGGCAAAATGAACCGTGCCCATATAAATTAATGTATACTTTTAAACGACTAAACCTCCATATTTTCAGAGTTTCTTGACTCCATGTACTCCGTAATCCTACGTATCGTCTTTTGAATTTTGATGTTTCGTTTGTAATGTGTCAAATTCAGGTGCTTCATAGTAATCTATGAGATTTGGACTTTCATCAAGTCAATTCGAATTTAAAATTATAAAACACTTAGTCAACTTAAATTATAAATATATTTTAAAATTTTGTAACTTTTTTTATTCACTACAAAAAAATTGTTATATTCAAACGGGAAATCCTACGACAATTTATTCCAATGAAAATTCCAACGGACATTTCAATGACATATCTTCTATTGGAATGATTCTAACATAATTTTCAACGAAAATATTATGTTAGAATAAATTTTCCATTAGAAATTTTATATGGAATCTGATTACTCCAACGGCTATTTTTTCAATAGTTTTTTACTGTATGAATTTCCGTTGAAATTTTTATTTCCACACCGTTGGAAAATCTACGTTGGAATCGTCAAAATCTAACAAAATTACAATGAAAAACTCATTCCAACGTACTATTTTTGTTGGAATTTCCGTTAAAATCCATTGAAAAACTCCAGCAGAGATAATAACATTGGAATATCCGCAGCGGAGATAATAACATTGGAATATCCATTGGAATATATTTCTGTTTGAATTTTTCATTGAAATTTCATTATTTTCTTGTTGCCAAACTCTTGACTTTAAAATGCAAATAATAAACTATAACAAAGACTAGTGCAGAGCCCGTGCGATGCACATGGTGCACAATTTGAAGGCTATTTATCCAAACTTATAGTTATATACATGAATAAAGAAAAATGTACGGGATATATATAGTACGTGACCCATGCGAGCCACGGGATATATTTTTTTGGGGAATATTATATTATAAGATGCAATATTAAATAAAAAAATTATAATACGTAGGAAAAAATCTGTTAAGATTCTTAAAAAACATCTTGATATACGGAAATCACATTATATGTAGAGGAACAAATCAGATCAGATTTTTCATACAATTAGATAAGATTTTTTGTACAAAGATAAGAAGGAATTTTAAATTTACACTAACTATAAATGTTAGATGTATTGATTTACGTAAATCAATATCTATATAGACTACCAAACCCTTCAAATTAGGCTTGAGATCTGATTTATTTTTAGTAAAATCAAGATTTTATCTTCCCAGGGCTTTTTTTGTTTTACGTATATTTTTTTTGTACCGAGATTATGGGGAAAAACAATTAAATAAAAATTAATTGATAGATATAGAATCCATTAATTAGACTTTTCTTCCTATTAATCTATACTTATATTAAAAGGTATACCATTTACCAGATTTAGTATAAAGAAAAGTCAACAACATTTATTGCATTACTATTTCCGTATTATACAATCTATACTTATATAAAAGGAGATTCTATTTACTACATTTACTATCCAGAAAAGTCAACTGCATTAAATGCCATTACTATTTTGGTATTATAATATTTTATTTATTTAATTAATTTATTTATATGTTTTATTTTAAAAAGGTAAGTATAATAAAAAAAAATTTAATAATAAAAAAATTAAATACCAAATAAAAATGTACACTTTGACTTATTTGATTATATTTGGTATTTGATTATACCAATTATATTCCTATTTAGTATATACATTAAATATTTACTAAAGTATTTATTTGTTTTATTTGTCAAAGTTAAGTATAGATTTGGTTATATTATCAAATTATAAAAAAAATATTAAATCCATATTTTAAAAAAAATCATATAATTTTATAACAATTCTACTACACTATTTAACAATATTTCTTTTTTATTATATTATAAAATAATAATTAAATATTATATGGTGAACAACAATAAGTAAAACTGTTACTTTCTCTTATATCAAGGGATAAATTTATATGCTAAAATTAAATTTTTATTAGTATAAATATTTTAGTTAGATAATATATTAATTATTTTACAAGCTAGCCCTAACATGCTCATATTTAATGTTTTAAAAGATGTAGAAAAAAAACTTATAATAACTCTATTATTTTTTAGACTTAAACGTTGATTAAAAGAGGTAAAAATTATTAATTTTTTAGACTTAAACATTGATTAACACCATAGATTGAGAGTTTATATATAGTAAAATTCCTAATTGTAATAAAAAAAAATAATTTTTGCTATATTTTAGAATATCTTTAAATTAAAAAAAAAAAGAAAAAAAACTACAATGAAAAAAGCAAGTCAGCTATATATCGATTTGTTGTACTCCTCAAATCACATTCACAATTTGGCTACAAGGAAAGGAAACTCATTGATTAAAATATTATTTTGTCAGTAGTCTTAATGTACAAGAGACTTTAAGACTCCACTTGAATATTATAAAACTTTTATTGAACATTGTACAATTTTCTTGCGTGTTATAAACTTTTATTGAATATTGCATCTTATAACATAATATTCTCCAAGTAATATATCTCGTGCTTTGCACGGGTCACGTACTATATATATCCCGTACATTTTTCTTTATTCATGTATATAATTATAAGCCTGGATAAATAGCCTTAAAATTGTGCACCCCGTGTATCGCACGGGCTCTGTACTAGTTTAGTATAAAGGAAAGTCAAAAGTAATTAATGTTTGCTGGAAATAGAATGACATTAATTACAGATTTGTTTTGATATTTATAGCTTGACATTAAAGATTTGTTATGGCATAAAAATCAGAACCGATTTTTTTACTTTGCTGAAAAAGTCAAATGTAAGTATAGATTTGTTTTATTCCATAACATCGGTTTAGTTAAAATAATCTCATAAAATCGATTTTAATGTCAAGCCTATAAATAAAGATTTAATCGATTTTAATAAAGCAGATTTAATCGGTTTTAATAATTGCATAGAATTTCAAAGCTGTTATTTATTGTAAAAAAATTAAATTCTAAAAAAATATTTGTGTATATTTTGTAAAATGTTTGTACAAAATGTTTTACTTTAAATTTATTTACATAATTTAA